AAATCCAACTGTTAGATTGAAAGTTCATATCACTTTATATGTTTATATCAATTTTTTTTTAAAATTGAACAACTACTTAAATGTAATCAAAGTGTTAATATTTTAGTATATTTTAAAATGTATATATTACGTCAATTTTTTATATAAGAATGAAGTATCAAATCATATTTGATTAATATAAAATTTTGTATATATGATTTAAGAGTAAAAAACTCTCAATATAACGGTTGAATTTATAAAATTTATATTTAATATAAAATTATTAAATAGTGTAATACTTAATAAAAATTACAATGATATTAATATTATTATAACTTTTATCATATATATATATATATATAACGACACCGGTGTACATTTTACAAAGTGTTACATCGCTTAATAATTTTATATTAAATGTGAATTTTGAAAATTCAACCGTTATATTGAAAGTTCATATCTCTTAGATCATATATGTCAAATTTTATATTAATCTAAGATGATTTGATACTTCATTCTCACAAAACAAAATTGACGTAATATATACATTTCAAAATATACTAAAATATGAACACTTTGATTACTTTCAAGTTAATGTTCAATTTTGACAAAATCTGACATATAAGATCTAAGAGATATGAATTTTCAATCTAACAGTTAAATTTTCAAAATTCACATTTAATAAATTCGCAAAAAATTTATGCAAATATTTTTTTGTAGGAAAATTCACAAAAAAATTCTATGAATATTTTTTTGCAAGAAAATTCGCAAAAAATTTCTGCGAATATGTTTTTACAAGAAAATTCACAGGAAAATAACACTTTTCTAGTAGTGTAGATTTCGCTCCGTCTTCTGCTTATCTAGGTAAGGGGGAGTGAGAAACCTCGCTCGGGGGTATCAGAATAATTGTTGGGTAGTAGGATTGGCCCCCAATTCCTTGCTTGATGCATGCTTCTAGGAACAGGAAAAATATGAATGTTTTCTGTTTTGTCTTCTAAGTGTTCTGTTGTGTTCCTTGTTAAATTTGATGTGTGAATATGTGATTACTTTTGAGAATAAATATGTTTTGATATGAATTAGAGTGCTCTATGGGTTCTTACGGGAAACCCTATGAGAAACAAGCAAATTTTAGATATTTTCTGTTTTGACTTCTAAGTATTCTATTGTGTTTGTTGCTAAATTTTGAGCATTTTTGTATATTTAATTTTGAATTTGAACATGTTTTGATATGAATTAGAGTGTTTTTTGGGTTCCTGTGCGAAACCTTATGAGGAACAATTATGAATATGATTATGAGGCAATGTGAAAAGTGAATATGACATGATGATGATAAGAATCTCCAAATGATAATCTTATGAGTATGACTATGTGAAATATGAACAAATGACATGAGACATGATGTGAATGACGTGCTATTGTGAGCACTATGACTATGAGAATGTGAAACGGGATAAAATGAGATGAGACATGATATGTCATGACAAGTAAAGTGATGAGTCCATGAGTTTGTGAATGTGTGACATGCATCATATGCATCTATGTGAAGGGTAGGATGTGGAGTACAACATTAGGGAATGCCCTCCTTGTGTAATAGCTTGGGGGAGTCCTAGGTGATAGACTATGGCCAAGGCCAAGGAATCCAAGAGGTGATATCTTAAAAGAACCAAGAGGAATGGGATGATCTTAAAGACCTTTTTCATATGTTTGTACATATAGTAGTTTCTTTGTATAGGCTTATTTTTGCCTTTATATTTGTGAGGCACTTTACTTGCTTTTATTAGTGTTTGTATATTGATTTTAAGGTAGGTTACTTGGAGAGTTTAACTCCATTTAACCTCCGTAATTGATACATTCATTTTGTATTTTTTCAGCAGGGAAAAAGGGATGGCATTTAGCAATGCTTGAGGGTGTGACTAGTAATTGGGCCAGAACTGTGCCTAGGCAAAATTTTGCATATTGGACTCATTTTGCTCCTAATTTTTCATAGATTTGATTTAGCTAGGTCTCATCATCATATGATGAACCTAACTAAACCAAATCAAATATTTTTGAATTAAATCATGGAGCATTTTGGATCCTTGGCCGCCTAGCCTCCTTCCTTGTTCTTGGTCGAAATTCACTAAGTTCTCCTTCAAGTTTTGAAGCTTCTCCTCCAAGTTTCTAAACCTTGGTAGGTTAGGCTAACCTTACCATGGTTTTTAAGTGAACCATGGTCAAGGTTAGCTTCTCCTACAAGTTTTATAAACCATGGATGGTTAGCTACACCTTACCATGGTTCCTAGTGAACCATGGTTAAGGTTAGCTTCTCCTAGAAGCTACCTCTCCCTATATATTTGTAAATTCTTCACTTGTATTCACTTTTGAACATTTTGAGAAATAGAAATTAGATTTCTTTCTCATTCAAGAGTCTTATAAACCGTAGAGAACTCTCTCTCTAAGGTTTCTATCAAAGTTTTTTGCCTTGGTTCCTCAAGCTTCCTTCACAAGCTAGGAAGTAACCGAACCTACTCCATTGCTTCTCCACCATTGGAGAATCCTCCAAGGTGATTCCGCCACCTCAAGGAGTTCAACCTCAAGAGTTTCTTCGGTCCTTGCATGGAGAACTTGGAAGAACAACAATCTTCTCCAAGTAGTTCCATCATTTTTGGTATCTAGAGGCTAGTGCTCTTGAGGTTATGTGTTTCTAATTTTTTCTTCATTGAATCCGTGTTGTTCCTTCCTTATCTTTGTCTAAAATTGTGTTTCTGTATGGATCTAGTTTTATTTCATATTTGGATGGATCCTATATGTCTCATGAGAAGTAATTGATTCATATTTTGCTTGTTTCCAATTCTTGTGAATCAATACTACAAAAAAAATGCTATTTATTGGAGGTTATTTTATGGAGGTTTTAAAAACCCCCTCAAATTAACATGAGTTGTGGCGTTTTCAAGGAACGCTTAAAATTGGGAAAATACCGGCGGTTTATATCATTTTTTGAGGAGGTTTATGCCCTCCCAAATTCAAATAATTTTTCCCGGAAAAATATTCACCACTTTCCCCCTTTTATTTTTCACCCACAATTTTTTTTCACCCAATCCCTCCTTCAGTCACCACGTTTTCCTTTTATCACTCTGCGCCTCCCATCCTCGTGCACCATCGCTCCTCCCATCCGCATGCACCTCTCCTCTTCTCCTCTGTAGACGAAGACGGTAGGGCCAATCTCCCTCCTTTTCGCATTTCCGAAGACATTCGTGGTTGGTTTCTTGACTATTTCTCTTGCCCTCGCTTCTGGCATTTCAGGTTCGATTCAATGTGGTAGTTGTTTCCTCTTCATTTCCTCTAAAAAGTGGTCACAACCTCTGTTCAGAAATAGTGGAAGGAGTTTGAGTACATCGTGGAATTCACAAAAAAATTCTATGAATATTTTTTTGCAAGAAAATTCGCAAAAAATTTCTGCGAATATGTTTTTACAAGAAAATTCACAGGAAAATAACACTTTTCTAGTAGTGTAGATTTCGCTCCGTTTTTTGGATAATTTAAAAAAAAAAATCAGTAAAAAAATTGAAAATTTAGATCCAGTGTGATAAGGTGTATTATGGTCTACTAGTTTAGATGCATCTAAGGGTGAAAACTGATGATGCACCCATGGACCACTTGTGAAAGTGATCTTTCAAAGAATTCACCTATAATCCAACCCAATCTTAAAATTTGATGAGATCAAGTGACATATTTATCTAAATCCAATCCAACCCAATCCCACCCACAGACACCACTAATCATAGGTGCACAGTATATTTGGCCCGCAAAACTGTATTCTGCTCTCGCTCGTTCTAGAAACACCCTTAAGTCGGCATTACAATTTACAAATTTTCAAACACCGTATTCCCGAAGCTGGGAGCTCACATTTCTTCTGCGGCCCAGAATCGCATTTTCTGCTACCTTCCCATCCAAACAAGTCCTTAGCATCGAACCTTCCAGAAGATGGTGGTCATAGAACAGGAAGAGAGCGACCATCGAAACGCGAACCCTTCCAACGCCGGCGCCGGCCACGACGCCTCCGACGGCTTCGAAACCGCCAGCGACACCGATCTCGGCAGTGACGGCGACGGAGAAGATGACGGAGCCGGCAGCCGCGAAGAACAGAATCACGTCGAGAAGCATCAGCATCAGCAGCAGCAGACAGAGCAAGCGCCGGAACACGATGTTCCTCAGAGCACTGAATCATCTGAGAATGCCTTGATCAATGAAGAAGAATCGAGACAGGTTCGGTTTCGAAACTAAGGGTTTTGATTTTAGGTCTTTCTGATTGTGCGATATTTTTTTTTTTTGACAGTTACTTATTTTTTTTACTCTCACATTGTTTGGTGAATTTAATTGGAATGCTATAAAGATTTTATTGTCATGTATTGGATTGGCACGCATTATAAGATTGTTGATTTCTGTTATAATTACTTTAAAAGTAAAATATAGACTAATTTCTAATTAGGTCACAGGAAAAGGATCGTATAATGAGAATGCTAGTAACATACTATAATAATACTCTTTAATTTTAGCTGAAATTTTTGGAGGATCACAAAATTGTGAAGGACTAGCTTTTTATTTAATTAGCCTCAGCTCATGATTTTACAGTTTCTAATAAGTTGTAACTCATAATAGAGTGTGTTAGATAATGTAGCATTTTTCTTGTATAATACTTGGCTCATGTGTTCAATTGCGTGACTAATTACTTATTTTCATGTTCTGTGGAGAAAATTCTTGTATTTTGAGATTCAGACACTAAAATTCACCAAACTGTGAATTTAATATATATTAATTAATCCCCTTATCGCCTTATGCATGTGAAAAGAGTATTGAGTGAGTGCTATTGGTTTATATGACAGAAAGCATTGGATCAAGCAAATGAAGCAAAGGTAGAAGGGAATAAGCTTTTTGTAGATGGGAAGTATGAAGAGGCGTTATTGCAGTATGAACTTGCTTTACAAGTTGCACCAGACATCCCTTCATCTGTGGAAATACGTTCTATATGTCATTCAAACCGCGGTGTGTGCTTTCTGAAACTGGTATGGCCTTCTTTTATCATGTTAATGGAATTAACATTTGTCATCAGTCATCGCATTCCTGTGTTATGCTCTTCCACTCATGTCTAACAGATGAACTGTTGATCCCAAAATGTGTTTCTGCTTGATGGCTTTTGCATAGTATTCTAGCTTGGTACCTGGCCTTTCTGTGTTTGCATTCACTTCAGAGTTCAGAATTATATGTTGAAGTTCAAAATTGGTTTTATTTTCTGTTGCATGCCTTTTTTTTTTTTTTTTTTTTTTTCCTTGAGGATGGTTTGATACTATTCTTGTAGAATTCAAAAACTAAAAATTCAGTATTATTTGTTTTGTCTAAAAATTATTATTTGCTCAAAATATAAAGTATCAGTAATTTTAAATTAAATAAATGGCTGAGAAAAGAGAGGAAAGTACAACCATACGGAAGATAAGACATCCTAAAAACCATAAACGTTGGGATTTGGATTCTCTAACATAGAGGTGGGAAAGTTATGGTACCTTTCAAGTAATTTTTAGCCATTGGATTCTTAAAATAAATCAGATTTTTTTTTTTTTTTTTTTTCTTCCTTGAGGATGGTTAGATACTATTCTTGTAGAATTCAAAAACTAAAAATTCAGTATTATTTGTTTTGTCTAAAAATTATTATTTGCTCAAAATATAAAGTATCAGTAATTTTAAATTAAATAAATGGCTGAGAAAAGAGAGGAAAGTACAACCATACGGAAGATAAGACATCCTAAAAACCATAAACGTTGGGATTTGGATTCTCTAACATAGAGGTGGGAAAGTTATGGTACCTTTCAAGTAATTTTTAGCCATTGGATTCTTAAAATAAATCAGATTGGGACACATGTACATTTAAATGAAACCTTCCATTGTGTGATACCTAATGGAGAAACTTAACGTCTTGTAAGAAAAATAGAAATTCATCAGTATTAGTGAGCTGGAAGTCCCTGTTTTTTAGTAATCCCTGTATAACAGTATCAGCGAGTTTGCAGTCTTTTTCCACAAGATAACTGCTGGTGGTACATTGGTATGCATTTTGGTTTATGAAGAGGAATAACCGAACAAGAGCTCGCACAAGAAACAACTTGTGCTCTTTTTTTGGTGGTAAAGCAAATCCACTGATTATACTTCCCAAAATTTTTAAGAGTTCTGCAATATCATTATGTTTCTCAGTTTCAAAAATGTAGCGGTAGAATATATCCAAATGCCCATCCTTGTCAACTTGAAGTAGATATTGAATATATTAGGGAAAAAATGTTGATTGTATAAAGAAACACCCTTTCTTGCAAGCACGAACACTATTATGAGAGTTTTTAAAAGAGAAACAGGAAAAACAAGATGATGTCCACTCAAATTGCTGGTAGGAGCAAAACACCAAAAAGTTGGCGTGCACTCACTCGCACAGTAGCCAACTGAGCATAAGAGACCGTGTTGTAATTAGAGACCTGACCCTTAGGATGAACATGAAAAAGTGAAAGAATATATTTTAAAATATTCTGAAATGTATTTGGTTTGAGTTTGAAAGTGCATATAAATATAATGTGTAGGAGGGTGTTGCATTCAGGAAAAAAAAAAAAAATTCCGAAGTGGTTGACCCTCGTGTCCAACAATGGATATTTTCACTTAAACTTACACTTGTCCCAATCTGATTTATTTTAAGAATCCAATGGTTAAAATTACTTGAAAGGTACCGTAACTTTTCTGCCCAAGTTAGATAATCCAAATCCTAAACTGGGATGTAATAAAGACCATGAAAAAGTACAACATGCTGCAAAGCTACCTGCATACAGGAAATTGATATTCCCTAGAAACAGTCACGAGCAGCAGCAGGGAACAAGGAAGCTTAAACTTAACAAGTTTAAGGGAATTGAGACACCCTTAGAAATGTGAGCATTATTATGACCCAACCATAAACAATTTCACATGTTTATACATAGTTGAATATTTGGTGCTGAGCATCAACCTAGTTTCTTGTAGAGTTCAAATTTGAGGATAGATAAAAATCCCAAATTAGTTTTGAGTATGCACAAATTTATTAGTCCCTAATGTAATAAATCTGAGCAAAAACCAGATTTCAATCTGCTTCAATCAAGAGGAAATCTTTCAAAGAAAACTGCAAACGACAATAAGAAAAGAAGATAGATATTTTGTTTATTTATTTATTTTTACCTTTTTTTTTAATTTTTTAATAATATATGTTGACATTTTGATTATTTTTATCCCATATAAAGCTACTGTTGGATCTAGCATTTCTTCTATGCCGACATTTTAATATATTCTGACATTATTTGTGTTCCATTTATTATGTTTGCTTGCTTTTCTTTAACACGTATCAAATATACATCAGGGAAAATATGAGAACACAATTAAAGAATGCACAAAAGCATTAGAACTGAATCCTGTATACGGTAAAGCTTTGGTAAGAAGAGGTGAAGCTCATGAAAAGCTTGAGCATTTTGAAGAGGCCATTGCTGGTGAGTTCAAATTTTATAATAGGGTGGTGGGTAATTATATCAACCTGCTCCGAGGTTGCACTTGTCACACCCAGCACTGCTTGTCCCCCACTTTATGTACCATCTTAAGCTTAATTTATTAAAACTCATTCTTGTTTGAGTAATAATTACTCTTAATTTCCCTACCTTATGCAAGGTTCCTACTCATTTCTCTTTGTAATTAACGAAGTAAAAGAGGTGTAATTTTTCAAATAAGAAAGGTGTCAAGTATAATGAACTACGGGCAGTTTCTGCACCTATCCCTTTATTTTAGCTCTTAATGTATATGACTGTATATTTAGCACACTATATAGCATTTTGATTTTTCCAGACTTTCATATTTATTCATAACCAGCTATATGCTTCACCATTTGTTTTTTCAAAAACAATTCGCAGATATGAAAAAGATCTTAGAAATTGATCCCTCAAATGATCAAGCTAGGAAAACCATTCGACGATTAGAGCCCCTTGCTGCAGAAAAACGGGAAAAGATGAAGGAGGAAATGATTGGTTAGTCTTTTTTGTCTTTTTTTTTTTAATATTTGATTCTTTTTTTGTTGGGTGGTGCATAGTCTTGCTTTCATTGCATTACCTCTATTTTTTGTGTTTTTTTTCACCAGTTATCTTACAATTGCGAGTAAAATCTCCAAGATATTTCTCCTATCTCAGTTGCTGTGTTTCCTTTTTTTTCCCCCTCAGTCATGTATTGAGGACTGTAAAGATTGTGTTTCAATTTTCAATACATCTACTCACGTGTGCTGTCCATTCTTAGCATTACCTTGATCTCAAATGGTTCACATAGGTGAAGCAAATCTAGTCTAGTCAAACAAGACATTATCGGAAAGAAATTCTTGTATCAGATGAAAGATGTACTTCTTATTTTCAAGGATTGGGGATACTCACGTGATTGAAAGATGTACTTCTTATTTCTGTCACAGTGCAATTCTTTAGATGAATTGTGCATTGATAGCAGCATTTCATGTCATAGACATATATTTCCTTCCTAGAGTACTCATAATGGTATGCTGTTTATATTCTTTGTAATGAGTGTAGATCTGTTTTTTGTTTGAGTGTTGGAGAACTGGAAGGCTTGGCTGATTATATATATTACTTATATATTTTAGAACAAAGCTATATATATATATATATATATATATATAAATATATATTAGTTTTATGGCATATACATTTACATTTTGGGTGTCCTGGCAGAACTAATTAGATGGCTAGGGTTCTTACTTCTTAGTTAAATTTGGGGTGATGGGCATCGTGAGTCATGACTCCTTTGTGCTACATCTACATCGACGTCAAAGTCATAGCTTATTATCTGTTCTTTAATTTTTGGCTCTAAGCCCAAATTATAAGATAGTATTGGAGTGCTGGCATCCAGCATGAAAAGAGGTTTTACCTTCTGTTGCACGGGGCTGTCATAGCTTGCCTTTTTCTTTTTCCTTCTATAAACCAAGATCTGATTCTTTGCTTATTCATACTATCTTTAATATCTCTATTGTACGTTTTATCAAGGTTCTTGATGTTGTCAAGATCTCAAATGATGTATTGGTTCAAGATTTCTCTTGTTGGCCAATTATGGATGTTCTTGAAGACTTGGCTATGTCTATTTAGACGTTATTTGCTTTGACCCTTAATCATTAAACATTGTTTATGTGACTTTTGCTTTAGCCCTTGGTAGTTAAGCATTGATGATGCAAGCTTTTGCTTTGTGTGGGATATTAATTTATTTTGCTTCTACCTTACACGGTGATTAAGCCTCTATCTCGGTTGATGATGATGATGATGGCTTCTGGAAAGTTGTTAAGTATGAAGTTAATCTTTGTGTACGTAGTTAAGCCTTATTCAATTTCTCTCTGCTAGGTGGTTAATTATTAAGTGCAGTTAGCTTTTGTGGTTAAGCATTGAGCATAGTTTTTGCTTGGTGGTTAAGTTTCTTTTTCTTTTTTGCCTAAGTTGGTCAGCAGCCAATATTTACTATTCTGTTATATAAAGGCAGTGTCATCATAAATTGTGGGTAGTTCATAGCGGTGTGTGCAGATGTACTTAATTTTGATAGAAGTGATATTGAGTAAATTTTACTTATTATCATTTACTTAGATAGGTGTTTTGTGATGCAGGAAAACTGAAAGATATGGGTAATTCTGTCTTGGGCCGCTTTGGGATGAGTGTAGACAACTTTAAAGCAGTCAAAGATCCAAACACTGGTTCCTATTCTATCTCATTCCAACGCTAATTTATGTAGAGCAAAGTCATGGCAGCGTTAAGCAAGAAAGAGGCGGTCTAAAGTAAAACAGGTTTGAGACTTCATTCTGCATGCAAACTATTTAGAAAATTTGAATGTTAGTTATGTATGAGAACTAGAGCATGTAATTTTATTTCCTTCAGAAGGGAATGTTTTAATTGATTCATCATTTGAATGGGATTGGATTGATAATGAGTAATTCTATAATAATGTCTTCCAATATTTAGTCGCATTAAGGCTTCAATGCACATGACAATTGTTTTCATATTTTGATTAATTATGTAGTTTAACTGTTTACATAATTTCATTGGGTTTTGAGAAATACAAGCGACACCTTCCACAGTCTGTTTAATACTATTATTGAATGAAATTCTAGCCAGCCTTATTAATAAAGTGTGGGCCCAGATATTATCTAAGTGGGACCAACACTAGATATAACTCATTAATAGATGAAGTGTTGAAAAGTGTGTCAGAATGTGTTGATAGTATCCCCTTTGGTTTTTGATTTTCTCTAATTTAGCTGCTCTTTTCTTTCTTGATGCTAAAGGGTGCACTTGTTTGAAGAGTTGAATGTTATAAAGTTGAAGAAGTTACCACACGCTTGTTTGGTACAACATAAATTTAGCATAGGAAAAAATAAATTGCAACTCGTTTACACACCACCCTCCTCAATATTTCTCCCACTCTTCTAGTATAAAAACGAGTTGATAACAGATTTACCCCATTTCTAACTTAACCCATTTACCAAACATTAGCTTAAATGAAAAGACATTTTTTAATACCCATAAAAATCAGAACCTTCGCATATCATTTTATTTTCACTCCCCTCAAACCAGTACACTCAAAAGCTCCATTTGGAAGAAGTTATAAACAACTTATTTGGACTTATCTTATGTTATAAGTGTTTGAGGAGTTCATATGATTTAATAGGTTTTAAGATAACGGGTCTAATTCACTGTCATATTGTTGTTTGTTTTCTAGGTAATGTTGGAATCCCGAGTTAATAAAGTATCAGGGGAGTTGAGATTGTTGGATGGATGTCAAGGTGTACTAATCATGGTGGAAATACACTCGTGAAAGTTGATTGGAATTTGTAAACTTTTTTGGGTTGTACATTGCTTCTTTTTCTTTTTTCATTGGGTCATTCTACACCAGTTGGATGTCACTAATGAATATGATTCACGTTTTAGCAATTTTAATGTGGTCACGTGATCCATGGAGATATTGGCTGGTACTTACTATACATGATATGCGATTGTCATTTTGTCAACACTTAGATCATTTATACGATTTTTTGTTTCTGGTCCCAAACTAGAGTAGTACACAAACCAGTGCTCTATAGTGGTTATTCACCAAAGTGGGGTAGCAGAGTTGTGAGCTCTAAACATACCGTACCTCCATAATTCAGAAGATTCTGCCTGTCTGGTTTTATGCTGTGGGCGGGTGAAGGTGTGTTACAGAATAAGAGGTATGTTTCAGTTGTGGGGCTTTTAGGTCATAAAAGCGAGATTACTGTTTTAGGTTCAAAGAAACCTGCATATTTATTAGATATTCGATGTACCTGTTGAGGTTTAGAAAGCGAGAGTGAAAAAAATATTTTTGTATTTATCCAATCATTATATTTTTTAAAGCTCACTTTTTATTCAAATTAATGCAATAATAACCAAAGTAAAAGGGAGGCTGTTGCTTTGGAAAGCGAGGTACAAATATTAATCCGAAAAATGGAAACCATTATTCAATACCAAGACTAACACTAACAGTTGGCCGAAAAAAACTAGTCCCGCAATTCCCTAGCTCTCAGAAAAATGCATCTCATTTCCAGTCTATACATAGTCTACAAATGGAGAGATAAATCAAGCTTTTGATCTTTCTCTGTACCATTATTTCCAAGATTTTGATTGCTACTTATCTGTGGTATATGTTGAGATGTGTCCCCCCAGTCGTAGTTGCAGCTCTTCCCATCATCATGAAACCTACTTTCCCCATAAAACAGAGCATTGCCAAATCTAGGTGCACCATTTGATCCAAATTGTTCTGAAATCTGATGGCTTGGGAGACAAGGGAGTCTTGCTGAGTGAGCAGTGATTAACACTGAAGGATTTAAAAGGTCTAGATGGGTTGGAGCAAAAACCATAGGGGTTGGCATTGGGGAAGGAAAGGAAACACACGAGTACTCAGAAGCCCTCTTGGCCTTCCTTGCAGCTGTTCTTTCTCTCTTGTGAGCATTTTGGTGCCCTCCTAAAGCTTGAGAACTGTAAAACTTTCTTGAACAGAACAGACATGGAAAAACTCTTGATGCATCTTCTGTTTGGCTTTCTCCAACTTTGGCTACCATTTCCTCATCTCCCATTTCTGTTCCTAAAACCCCAGTAAGCAATCGAAAAGGGGAATAAAATACGTCAGAATTTGTACAGTAACATCGGAAACTAGATATATATGAAACTACATAAGCTCAACGCTTTACCTGAGGAATATCAGTACAAATGGTACAACAGTGTAATAGAGTGGGAAGAAGGGAATTTAAAAAGCAGGGACAGCTGATATGTGTTTGGATCTTGTAGTGTGAACTGATCAAAGAGTTGAAAGGAGTTTCAAAGTACTCTAAAGAGGAATAGGAAAGCGTGAAAGGGTCTCTGAGTAGAATCATAAATATAGCACAAGAGAGAGTGGTGAGGTGTATGGGCTTGGGAACAGAAGAGATAAGGTGAGAGAAAGGTTCCATTTTCCAAACCTAACAATTCCTTGCACCAATCACTATCTTCATCATAAACATGCACAAGCCTTTTGGAGGACACTTCCCCACTTGTCTGACGACGTGGTGCTTTATGAGGACTTTGTGTTTCTCTGTTTTTTGTTTTTACTCAGTCAAGATTTCATTTGTCGGATTTACTGCGCTAGATATAGTACCTATCTTCATCTGGATTTGTCCCTTATGCAGTAGTTTTAAAATTCCTCACAATTTTTATAGTATAACCTTTTAATTATTAAATAAACCATTGAATATATTTAAACATGAATAACAATGAGGATGAGATTGGCAAATCATATTGGTGAGAGATATAAAACTGTCGGAATAGCAGTAGAGATTTTTTATTATTATTTTTTATTAACAATTATATTATTGATAAGAAATTTCTTTTATCCAAAGTAATAATTAGTTTCTGTTGGAAACTCGTGTATACAAAATAAGAATTCTTCTTTTAATATACTCTATTTCGTATTCAAAAATTAGAATTCAAATTTTGAATAACTTAGTTAAAAGATATAAGTCCGTAATACATGTCATTCGATCAAGGTGGGTAGAATAGCAGTAGAGAGGAGGATATTGATGATATGTAATGGGCAAGAGGGAAGGAGGATTAGGTATGGGAGTGTGTGTTGCTTTGATAGTTAGTGCATTCCCTCTCTCTGCATGCTGCTGCTATTGGCTGCTCTGCTATGCTATGCCATAAGTTATGGGCTGTTTATTCTCCTGCTGCATTCTCCACCGCCAACTCCATGCAAATTGTCATTTTTCACATATTACACGTATCCTCTGACTCTCACCCTTCGCGTCCTTTCCCAATACAGACTACTACCTTGTGTACGTGCCTGACTATCCCACGTCACTCTTGATCTTCCTTATGGAATTTAAGGATCCCGAATGTTAAGCCTTTGTTTGGAACAGATGAAAAACAATAAAAAAACAATCAGAAGGACTAAACTTATCAAAGTTCTTTTCAATCAAGAGTTTTAGAGAGCGTGCTAATTATTTGGAAAGAAAACCTCCTAAAGAGAGAGTAAAAATTAAAAAATGCCATTATATCCTTTAAGATTACAACATGCAAAACATATCTTATTTTTATTTAGAGATATTTATATCATTCTATAAATTTATAACCTTTCTTCCTTCCATTCTTTCTTTCTCTTTTCACTTCTACTTAACAATTAAATGATCACCTCCTTTTCTACTCATTTATTTTTCTTACTTTCTTCTATTTGGTTTTTAAATCTTCCTTTCATAAACCAAACTATTGGGATGATGAGCCAGTGATGAAGTAAGAACGGGGAACTCCAGCGAGTTGAAGGGAGAAGGTGGTGGTGGCCCTGGATACACTCCAATCCCAAGTCACAATGTATTTTAGTAGAGTAACAATAGGGTAAAAATTACACGAGGGTGATACTATTTATGTAAGGATACAGTGTGATATAAATTGTGAAGATTAGTTAGGTCATGTTGGAGTTTGTTACGAGATTGGGAGGATAGGTTGGATGATGTCTCGACTCTCAAGTGATGCTTCATTTTATGTCAGATAGGTACAAGGTTGGTTAACGCTACAAAAAGCGTTAAGTAAAGATCGAAAAAGGGATATTCCAATTGTAGGTATTAATTTGCTATATTTATCCATATTACAAAGAAAGTGAAGAGTATAAATAGTCGATGAAAAATTTAATGGTACAACACTTATTGATTTTTGTATTAATAGTTTAAATTATTAATTCTTAGAGTAAAATCTAGAATTTAAATAACATGTACCAACATAACAATAAGCTAATAACCATAAGTAATATATAGAGCTATTAAATGGGTCAAACTAACTTTAATTATTGAATACATGAATTAATTGATATATGGTTGTTTTAGTTTAACTAATGGTCTCAAGTTTGCAATTATGTTAAATATCCTTACGAAAAATGGGTTAAACTTGTAATATTCTAAAGTTTTAGTTGCAATTTTTTATTTTTCATGAATAAGATTTTTAGTTTTAGTAAGTTGAACTAATATAAAATTAATCTAATTATATCATGGAATAATTTTTTTAAGTAGTAATATTAATATTTTTTATATTTCATTTTACTTTTGAATTTTTATGTAACACACACTCGTACACACACAAATACAACACACATATACACACACACATATATATATATAAAACGATCTAAGAATAAATCTACTTAAACTCATTGCATTTAATAATTCATATTTTACATCAAATTTTAATAATTCAATTGTTGAATTTAAAATTCTTGATGTATAAATTGTTTTTAAAATTTTTAAAAATGTGCAAGTATTATATATGCATTAAGAACTTTAAATTCAACGTATGAATTATTAAATAGAATAAAAGTTAAATGAATTCTTCCTCTCTATATATATAAAAATTATGAAATCATTGATTATAACTATTTATTTGACATACAATATTTGTTTAAAAAGAATGAAAAGAAAACATGATACACCAGATAAGAATGGCTAGGATTCACGAATGGATAAGGTAAAAAGAAATAATATATATATATATATATATATATATGAATAATAAAAATTTAATTAGAAGCTAACTTGATAAGGATGTAGTAAAAATTATTAATAAAGGGAATCTTTGGAGAAGGAGAGAGAATTGCACGAGGAAAGAATTTCTTTTTTTTAACAATGCATAATGTCAGAATGTCTATAAAAATAACAAACGAAGGAGTGCCTGCTCATTGTTTACTTTTAATCAATGTGGTTCGGTTAAGAAAAAAAGGGAATAAACTTGTATCCCTAAATTACTATAAAAACGCAGATTTTATTTAAATAAGTATTGATCATTAAGATAGGAGATGAGACATTTATTATGATCTTTAAAAGATTATATAATTAGTTATTTAGTGAGGTGTTTAACTCATTTTATTGGTTATTTTATATTATCTAGCTAATAATATATTTATACAGGATATAGTCGAAGACCCCAACAAATTCTTTGGCAAACCTTTTTAGGTTTTTGACATTATTAATAGAATTAATTACTTATACACTACTAGTGTAAAGTTTTTTTACATTGATAATTAATTATATCTTTTAATTGTGTCATGTTATTATAAACACATTTACTTTTAATAGTGACATGACACAATTAAAAAATATAATTGGTTGCTAGTGTAAAAAAACTTTACACTAGTAATGTATATGTGATTAACTCTTAGTATATGTTAATAATTTCAAAAGTCTAGAGGCATGTATAAAGAATATAGTCAAAAATTCTTTAGTAGATACTTAGGCGTTCACTAAGAAACTCTCAGCTTAGTACAATACCTCACATGGCCTGACAAGATGTTATCACTACTAATGGACTTTGTCATGGACTCGTTTATGAGTTTAAGTTCATTAAGGTTAGTATAAATAATGATGATTAGTAACAAAAAACGTTTTTATTATTACGAGAATTGAATAATATTGATCTCTCTGATCTTGAAGACTAACTTGAGTATCAGAATGCCTTTTACAAGTACTTTTGCAAGTACTTCACTTTTCTCTTAGATAGACATATGAGAGACTCTCATGTAGGTACAATATTATTTAACCATTTTTAGTTTTTTAACATCTTATATTTGTTGTTTGCATATCCTTTAATACATTCTAGTATGTTATTTTCTTATTTGTAAATGATTTATTTAAAATTTTATTTTCAAAATAATCTTAAGTTTATTTAAATAATCTCTTGAATTATTTTATACTATATTGATTATTTATACATTTAAGATTAAAAAAATATTTGTACATATAATATCTATTTTATATTTTTCCATTCATTTTCTACGTAAATGCAATATATATATATATATATATATATATATATATATATGATAATAATAATATTAGTAATTAAAATAGTAATTATTATAATAATAGGCATTATTCTTAAATTATAAAAAAGCAAGTCATTATTATTGGTTAACTAATACAAATATATTATAAGTAATAAATATTTGAATACTTGGATAAAGACATAAGTTGTAATCGGAGGTTTTGGCCTTGTAGATTTAAATGAGTCTAAATTGGATCAAGTGGATGATCTTTATATTATGCTATAGTAAACTTATTTATTTCGACTATTCACTACAAAACTTGTTAAAATTCCAATTTTCATATTAATAAAAATATTGCTATATATATAAATTATATCAAAGTATTGTTATAAGTTTTTTTTATTTTTTTATTTTATCAATTTATATGATATTTATTCTCTCCTTTATGTTTCTTGTTTCTTATTTGAAATAAAATAGATGACAAATTTTAATAGATGGATGCCTGAAACATACCAAGCCTATTTTTTATAGTCACTGCAATAAAATTGACTTTTAGTGATATTTAATATGACTTTTAGTGACAATAAAAATTATTACAAATTCTTTTACTAGCATTTCACACATTAGTCATTGTATGCAGTGTCGCTAAAATATTTACCGGCAATTATTCTATATGCTAGTAAAGACCCTCATAATGGTCGGAAAAAGTGTATAACTTTTTGTGTCATTTGTTACTGGCATTTAAAATTGTCGCTAAAAATTGAAGAAAAGATTTATAATATTTTTTAATTATCTTATTTCTAGTCGATGTAGGACTTGTAAGATAAGTACAAATACTCTTTAGTTACCTTATTTCTAATTGGTGTGAGACTTAGAAGATGAAGGTTATCTTCTAAGTATATACTCTTTAGTTTTTTTAATTATCTTATCTTCTAAATACCAACTTAGAATAGTAAGTTATAGGCCTAACTCAACCTTATAAAACATACTTGTAAGGTGAGAGTTATCATTCAGTTATATACTATTTAATTATTTTATTTCTAGTCGATGTGGGACTGAAGTTTTTTTTAACAAATAATTGTTGCTAATAGTAAATTTTGATGTGATATAAATACATTT